GATATCGCGCCAAGAAATCCAAAAGCTTCAGTAAGGAAAATATTGAAAAGTTTCTTACAACAGCAAATGACGAAGATTACTTAATGCAAAAAGTAGGATTTTTTTTTGTCATATAAGTTTGGTTACTATTTATTTTTTGTTTTTCAAATTTTATATCATTTTGTTCGTCTCAGTAAGACAAATCAAATGCACTAAAAAAAAATCAAAAAGTCCACACACTTTGAACTAATTTAAATGAATTTAAAATACTTTAACTTTAAAAAATCATTACTCAATAACTATTAGGCCGATTTCCTTCAAATAAAAACCATTCTAAAGGGATGGGCAAACTTTGAAAAAAAAAATGGGCAAAGTTTGAAGTAAATCGAAGTAATCTAAGAAAAACCCTACGAAATTTTTTTTTTCTTTATTACCATCGTGTACAGCATCTTTTTATTAGTTAGAATCCAAATTTTTAAAATAATTGTATACCGAGTAGTTTTTAAGATATGATTTTTTGAAGTTAAGGTTTGCTATTCAAGTATTGAGCCATATAGGAGAAATGCATGTTAATCTTACTCAAAATTGCATTTTTATAAAAGTATTTGTTTTAAGACTCTTCTTTTGCTTAAAAATGATCAATTGCATCTTCTTTAGAATAAACAAAAACTGTTTCTTTACTTAAAACAAACAAAGAGTACCTGCGTACTAATTAAAGCAAATAAAGAGTTTTTTTGTTCTAAAAATGATCACTGAACATTGAGCAAAAAGGATCTAGAAGTTTAAAGCAGTAGCTTTAAATATAAGAACAAATCTTTTTCAAATTAAATCACCTTTCATTCAGATTCCAACTTGTTCACTTTGCTCTAGCTTTCTGAACTTTTTTTTGAAAATGTTCTCAGCAAATGCTTTCTCATCACTTTCTACTGATGTTGAATGCAATAAGTCAGTTACTTCGTGTGCAACTGTTATCACAACGCCTACTACCTCCAAGCTAACTGAAGCTAATCGTAGATTGTACCAACAAAATAAATCAGGTGACTTATTGCATTTAACATGACTCGAAAATAATGAGAAAGCATTTGCTTAGAACATTTTCAAAAAAAGTTCAGAAAGCTAGAACAAAGTGAACAAGTTGGAATCTGAATGGAAAGTGATTTAATTTGAAAAAGATTTGCCCTTATGTTTAAGACTCATGCCTTAAACTTCTAGATCCTCTTTGCTCAATGATCAGTGGTCATTTTTACAACAAAAAAACTCTTTATTTGCTTTAATTAGTACGCAGATAATCTTTATTTGTTTTAAGTAAACAAACAGTTTTTGTTTATTGTAATTAGAACAAAGAAGGTGCAACTGACCATTTTAAGCAAAAGAGTGTTAAAGCAAAGACTTTTAGAAAAATGCAATTTTAAGTAAGATTAACATGCATTTCTCCTATATGGAGCAATGCTTGATTAGCAAACCATAACTTCAAAAAATCATATCTTGAAAACTGCTCGGTATATTTTTTTGAAAATTTGAATTACAACTAATAAAGAGATGCTCTACACGATGGTAATAATGAAAAAAATACTCGTAGGATTTTTCTTAGATTATTTCGATTTACTTCGAACTTCTTCGAAGAAAAATTTGCCAATATTCAATTTCAAATTTGATATCATTCTAAAGGGCAAGACCATCCCTTTATAATGGTCTTTATTTAAAGGAAATCGTCCTAATAGTTATTGAGTAATGATTTTTTAAAGTTAAAGTATTTTAAATTCATTTAAATTAGAAAAAAAATTATTTAGTTCAAAGTGTGTGGACTTTTTAAATTTTTTTTTAGTGCATTTGATTTGTCTCACTGAGACGAACAAAGTGATCTAAAATTTATCAAGTTGTCACGACATGACTTTTTTTGTCGCCCTGTGTAGTTGGAGTTACGTGAGCTTGTCGGAGGCAAGAATTACTCAATTTAAAAGTAAATGATGTAGAAGATTTAGGACAATTTATGAAAATTATGTTGCGGTCATTCAAACAAAAGTGCCTCCTGAGTTCACAGTAACAAAAGGAAATTTTAAAGACCTAAACTTGGTGGATATGGTTCGCAAATATGCAACATTGCGCCCATCTCATACTCCTCATGCCAGTTTTTTTATAAATTATAAAAAGGGAAGATGTACCCTGCAACCAGTGGGCATCAATACCTTCGGTGGTCTGTCAAGTAAAATTGCAAATTTTTTTGAACTCCCAAGTGTAAAAGAATATACTGGACATTGCTTTAGAAGAACTTCAGCGTCTTTATTAGCCAACGCATGAGCTGATATGTCGGTTATAAAAAGACATGGAGCCTGGAAATCTTCAAATGTAGCTGAAGGATACGTTGATGATTCTTTAGATAAGAAAAAGAAGACCTGCAAGTTGCTAGTAGGTGGAGAAAATCAGGAAAACACCCAGATTGAAAAAAAAATAATAATGAAACTTCACTGCTTTATCGTCTTCTGGAGCTTCGAATGTTCACATATCTGTGGAATTGCATAAAACTTCTGGTATTCGTTTTTCGAATTTAACCAATTGTAATTTTTATTTTAATTCTACATAAAATTGTTGTACATATAAAAATCGTTGCAAAATGAAAGTCCATATTAGCACTAGTGCGCAAAAGTAGCTCATTTTAGTACTCAAAATGATGACAAAATGTCGTGATATAGATTCAAAATTGTAAAAAATATTTACCATATTGCCAATCGAAAGCGAAGTTGAAATACGTCCCCACTGAATGTAGATCCATGCTTGCGATCAACAGCAGGTACAACCCCATGCAAAAATCGGCGAATGCCAAATTGCACATTAAAAACCTATTCACGGTTAGTTCGCCCCCACTGAACAACACGACTACAATGACGGCTAAATTGCCCACAACCGCCAACACTACCACGAACCACACTGAAATTCTCAACCAAGAGAAGCCCATGATGTCTTCGCAAGGGTTGAGAGCGTTGGCTTCAGGAAAGCATTTGACTGAAGGCGTTCTGAAACAAGAGCTGAAACGGGTCGAATGTTGTTTATTGTTTTTACCTCATCATGGCTAAATTGCCACAAACAGCGTAAACTTTGTGTTGTTGGGAGATTTCCGCAGATTTGGCGTGGAAAGTCCCAAAATCCTCTTCGTAGTCTAGTGGACGGGCCTCTTCATGGTCGATGGTGCGGCCTCGAAGGGGGTCCAAGTGGGAATGGTCGCTTTTATTGGGGTGGCCTTTGAAGTGGTCCAGGTTGGGGGTCCAGTCTTTGGGGGGTAGCGGCCGAGAGCCGATGCGTTCGTAGCCGAGAACATTGCTTAGAGCAAAAAAATAATTTAAATTGAAATTTTGGGTTTCATAATTTTTAAACTGATAAGCAAAAGTTAAAATTCAACGTTTGAAGATTACAGTTCCATTCTGGAATGACATGTACAGGGTGCACCAGAACTCACGCCTTAGTAAGATAAATTAAGATACCAGGAACATGGAAAATATGTTAAAAAATTCTAACTATACTACTCCAAAATATTAAAGGAACAAAAAATTTTCTTAAATTTTTTTGTAATTTTCGAAAGGCTGTAACTCATCGAAAAATGGTCGTATCTTGATTAAAAAAAACTGTTTTGAAGCTTTAAGTTTTTAGTTTTGAGATCTTATCAAATATTTTTTTTGTGCTACGGTTATCACGCAATTCGAAGTAATAGTGCGTGAAAAGAAATTCTAAATTTTTATGTTTTCGTTTTTGGTCGCTGAGATATCTGACTTTAAATAAAAAAAGGATCTTCTTGTCTTTGATCATCGATATCTCAACAACCAATGGCCACACAAAAACTGTCAAAAATCGAAATAAATGTCTTAGAAGATCCTCTTATGATTTTTTGGAAAATATTTTTTTTACCTTTAACATTGATTTAAAGCCTAATCTTCATCAAGACGAAAAAAACAATTTTTTTCGACTTGTTTACCATTATAGTTAAATTTGAAAAAAAATCGAAAAGAGATTTAAAAAAATGTTTTAGATTTTTTTTAAATTTGTAAAAAAAATCAATAAACAGTATACTGATTAATTTTTGAAAAAAAAATCAATTTGAATTTTTTTTCGAATTTCTTTTTTTTTTCTTTTTTTGCATTTAACTAACGCAAACTTGTAAAAGAAAGCTGAAAAAAATTGTTTTTTTATCTTGACGAAGATTAGACAATGTTCAGAAACAATATGTACAATTGTTCCTTTAATTCTTTTGCAAAACTTTGATTAATCGGTCCGAGAAAACAGTTTGAGGGACCTATTTGAAAATTTACTGGGCTTTGTGGAGGACATTAAGCTGTAGAAACACCTAAAAATATTAAATTCCCTATCAATATTAGTGAATACGCGGCAGATTTACTAAAACAACGAAAAAAACTTACTTTTTCTCTTTTCTTTAAATTAATGAAAACAAAAACATAAAAATTTAGAAAAATTTTTCTCGCGCTATTACTTCGAATTGCGCGATAACTGTAGCACAAAAAAAATATTTGCTAAAAAATCTCAAAACTAGAAGCTCAAAGCTTTAAAATGTTTTTTTTTTAATTTATGTACGACCATTTTTCGATGAGTTACAGCCTTTCAAAAATCACCAAAAAATGTAGGAAAATTTTTTGTTCCTTTAATTTTTTGTAGTATGTAGTGTATAAAAATTTTAAAGTTATGAGAGTTTAAATTTTGCACTATTTATTTCTGTTGGAAAAATAATT